CAGTTAGCCCTTAAAAACGAAGTCGATAGAATAATGCAATCGTAAAATGGTGTTAGCGAATAATACTAAAGGTCAAATTCAACAGATAAGCGCACGAAGTTTATCTACGAGATTACACTAGACAATGGAGCGGTGGATGGCGTATATGGATATGCAGGAAAGATTGAATCTTGAAAAAAGTGTACCTCTGACTTTGTTGTTCATTAACAGTAAACTTATTCGATACTTTTTAAAAAATTAGTTATTAGTCATTCAATAAATATACTCAACACTTATTTAATACTTATACCCGTTGTTATTAATGGTTAAATGTCCTCTTTTATCAGCGCATCGTTGAAGGCAACTGTTTTTATTTGAAACAACGAAGGAAATAACGTGCGCGATGTAAAGGTTTGCCTCCTTAAAATGAATCCGCTGTTTAATGTCATGCGTAAATGCGCTATCGTATTAACCATGTAATTTCTTGATCCAGGTCAAATTCCGTTATACGAAATTTTCAGTATAATGAACAATTGTTTTTATGTTTAACACTTACATAACAAACCATATTTAATAGTTATAATGAAACTTCGTTATAACGAGCATTTATCACCATTAAAATTAACTTCATACGTTTGCTAAAATAAACATCGATGACATTTATCATTGATATATATATATGTGTGCGAAGCCCCTGCTTTGGCTGAAATTCGGCTACTTTTGATCTCAGTGGCATTGCCGAGCGATGTTTGGGTGTCACCTGAAGTTCAACACGATAATCCATTATGAAATGAGCGGATCATAAAACATGGATTGGAAAAAAGAAAATACTTCAAGTGTTGTTGCCCTGATAACTATTTTGCTCAGATTTATTTCATAAATGGAATTTTTCAGTCTTAAAATAGTACACAATTGAAAATAACGGACTTTTTATTAAAAATAAAGTTTTGTAATAATTATTTGAATTTGCATGACCAATTTAATAAAAATGGCGTCAGTTTCTTTTCATTATTCAGTATAATAAAATT